GGAACATTGAAAAAAGAGAGGTGACAGCCTAGCTAGTCCTGGCGACTATTAAGGAAGAGATCTGTGGAAGACGAAGGAGAAGGAGGAGACGGTCTGGGTGGGCAGATAACATCAGATGCTGGACAAATATGGAGAATGGGAGGAGATTGGCTTTCCAGAGAAACGCCCACGGCTCTATTAAAGGTTAGGCTCGCTGAACTAAACTGACGAGTTGCCCCACCTCATCTTAAGCAGTTTAAATATTTATTTTCTCTTTAAAAAGTATCTTTTTGGAGATCCCATCTTTATCGTTTATAAAGATGAGTGCGTATCATACTCTGTTTTTGCAATGCATCGAGAACTAGCGTTGTTCCACTATGTGCAAGAGTCTAAACATTCAGTTGCTTCTAATCGGACTTAAATTGACAACGAAGGCCCACTTGGTTAAGGTATAAGGTCTGTGGTTAAGGCGTCCGTATAGAAGAAGGCCTATATGATGCACGTATACAGTACACAGTTGAAAACTCCGTTGGATAAACTGATTGCCAATGATGGCGGCTAATGATATTATGCGCTACAGTCATAACTTTGCTTAGGAAATTTTTCCCCGACAGGCAAACAACACTCCGACAGGAGTGGTGGCCTACGGGGGCACTGTGGCGTAGTTATCATGATAATCATCAATATCGTGTGATCATTCAATCATCATTATAATAATCGTCACCATTGAATTATTTTATGACATCAGAATCAATTTTAATGGCCAATGTAACAACGTTATCACAGCTCACGATAGCCTACATAAAGCAATCTCTGTTTTTCAGTCCTAGATTTAATGACGTATGCCCTCTTCGTAAATACTAGAGTTCAACGCCAACGGCCTGTTGGTGATTATGTCGCCCATATTTGGAAAAAAAAAAATTCAACTGATTTGGCAGATTTACTACCCGGGCTTACAGCTATTAAGTTACCGCCTGCAATTGTCTGTGAACAAACCATTGCCGATATAAAGCCCATTGAAATACGCTCGGCGTGCAGCGCCCCTAGCCCCGAGGTTACTGTTAGTGTTTTGTTGAGTTTTTATGGCGAATTTATAGAGCTCTTTCATCGTTTAAATTGCCGTTTCAACTCGTTAAGTTAATTTTGGTGTGAACATTACTGCCGCGTGTGTGTTTAATAAGTTTTTATGTAGTCTACTGCGTGCGATACTTGATAGCCTGCGAGCGCTGCTGTCTCGTCTACTTTTTTCTGGGTGATTCAAGGAAGTGTTTTGTATACTGTGAGCTGTGAGCCAGTTCAAAATAAAGTAGGATAATTATTCCCTGAAAACTGAAAAAGCCACCATTTCTGTGGTGTTTCTGAGATTCATCCATTATATGTTTTGTACGAATTTATTCCAAAATATTTGTCTTTTATATCTCAGATTTTAAAACCGCTCTTCAGATTTTCCGTAAAAACCATCGGGTTCACTGCATTACTTTTGCTTGTAGTTTTAGTAAGCGACCAAAAAAAAATTGTTTACGTGATTTTTTTTCTTTACTTGTATTGAATCCTCGTTTTCAAAACTTTACTAAGGTTAAAGAAGACGCCGGGTTCGCTTGATTGAACTTATTTAAGAAATTCATCTGGGCCGGGATCCAATGATAATATTAAATATTAATATGAATATTAATTGGGACATAAAAAAAGAACATAATCAATATTTTATGAATTTAGTCGGTTTAATTTTGCACAGTCTTTAATTAATTCAGTTTAGTCTCTTTCTTCTAGTCTATGTACGGTACATTTATTAAGTCCCAAAAAACTGTAGGCCTACAACGTGCCTGGATTCATTTAGTTGTATGGTCGAACCTCTCCTGTGTGAGAGCGTTCCTCTGCTTTAAAAGAGTGTGCCATTAAATTATTATTAATTAAGGTATTAGACCTATTTGGTCTGTTTTTCATATACATTTATGAGGCCGGTTATATAATGCTTACACTCAGCTAGAGAGCTGTTCTATTTAATTCATAGATACAGTAAGTAGATTTGCTTGATGGGTTAGAAATATGCTGAAATGTTTGTTCAACTGCTTTTGGTGACAGTCCCACGGGTGCTAGTGCATTCATTTTGTTGCATGCTTGCATAGCAAGCCTAGAAGTTCGTGAGGTCATCGGAGAGCAAAGAGGCAGTCGAGGAGTCAAGCATGCACTCAACAGTGCCGTGACGCTACATATTGAAAACAGCATTGCTAAAGAACAGAGGTCCCGTGAAAGGAAGAAACCAAGCTAACTATATTTGGATCCTAACGGCCTATTTCATTTCTGCTAAACTGCCAGGTAATTTCATAGCTGCATTTTTTTCTTTACCGTTACGTAAAATTACCAAAATTAATAAAATAGGAAATTATGTTATTCATCATTCGGGCGCAGTGCAATTCCGTAGATTATTGATTATTATTACTTATAATATACGACAATTGGTTTTTAAAAAAATATATATTCTCGAAATTGGACTCTGTGCGGAATATGTTTGCAGAGTGCGATCAGAATTTTGTAACTAGCAAATCTAATCTCCACTCGATGAACAACGCGCCGTAATTTTGCGATAAAGTCGATAATAAACAAAATATTCATAATTAAGTATGAGCAAATATACTTTCTGAGATAAGGTAGATTGAACTTCACAAATACCGTTAAGTGATTGATCTTGACTTCACCGTGTCTTCTCTACTGTTCTCGATTGTCATCGTCATTCCTAACAACGCCACGGTCATTTTTTTGTCTTAATTACGACTGAGACATCATTGCTTGGTAGATTCCAATAAACATATTGGGACCATTACTGTATCTATGCCTATTATAGATCACTGTATACATAAACATGTCAATGACGAAAATAAATTTGTGATTTTTACATGGAACGCGCATTTGCTGTACGCGAACTGCTATAGGGTCGAGTTCACTGGATGCGTTGGATGTCCGTCATTTTCTATATGTTAGAATAACATGGCAATTTGTCAACTTTGCATGATCTCTTTGAGTTGGAACCGAAACCAATTTAACAATGACAGACCGAGACAGATTATACGTCGTGGGAGTGTGAACTCTGACCTCGGAAGAAGGAGGTAGATCAATTTTACACTAAAATAATAACGCATATTTTGGGGGATTTCAAAATATAATTATATATGAACCATATTTCAGATTCACAGAATAGTACCGTCGAATGAGGTGTATAATTGGCACGTGTTTTATATAAATGACAAAATATTATCAGAAACGATGTATTATTATCAAAATTATATATATATATATATCACATATATATATGTATATATGTATGTATGTATATATATATATATAAATATATATATTAACTCTTATTATTTTTTATATTCTCGTAATATAGGCCTTAATGATAACTCATTTATACGGTATTGTTTTTATGTTCAATCATATTTCTTATTCTTTACTTTACTGTGGATACTTTAATATGATACAAAGGGGATATTTGTTATTGTATTTCGAGTCTTGATTTTGTTAAGCTTTGGAACACCTACCTTTATTTAATAGACAGAATGCAAACTCATATTTCATGTTCTTTGTAAAACCCGATGAAACACACAAATGAGTCACAGTCTAAGATGTAAGGCTGAGTTTGCGTAATACAATGTAATGGACCTTTCCGGCGTGTCAATCAAACTTAACAACTGACCAATAAGAACATCGCTAAGATTACGCGCGTATGTCCCAAAAACACGCGTGTCCCACAAACGCTCGTGTTTACGTGCGTTTACGCTATCTTTTTGTGGGACCTCAGCAACAATATTTGAGGGGCGGGGCTTATCGGAAAGATCCATTCGTTTTATGATAGGCCTAATGGGGATAATCATTTCACACCATATTGGGGTAGAGGGTTTCTCCTCCATTGTTTTTACTTAAGTTTTTATTGAATATATAGACCTATATTAATATATATATATATATATATATATATATATACATATATATATATATATACATTATATAAGCCTGTATATATAGACCTATCACGATATAATAGAGATCAATTTCGAACCGTCTTGTACCAGTAATGCTATAAATATGTAATATAAATTTTGAATTAGAGGAATCTGCGAGTGTGAAAAATAGGTGCCCAACCGAAATTCGAACCCGGGACCAGTGCTGCCTCTGCAGAATTTATATACTATTATCATTATATAGCTTTACTGCAAGAAGGTTTCAGAATTATCTCTTTTTAAACCTATATACTCTTTATAACTGTCGGTAATGATATTTATATATACAGAAATATAGGCCTATATAAGTATAACAAAATCAATGACGATTCCAAAGGAGATTAAATTTAAAAAAAGAAAAAACAGAAATCGAATTAATACTGGTAACAGACGATAACAAACACAGTAATTATCAATAACGCCCTCAAATGTCGATAACCGTAAAAAAGCATGGATTGTAGTAGAAAAAGGGCTTCAGAAATAGACACTTGTGTATATATCAGCATTCTCTTCGTCTATACTATATCTTACCATCAGTTAAAGAATACGAATATTCGAGGTTAATATAATGTGGTAAAGTTTATTATGTGCTGTCTTTCGTGTATTTTTGGGTTCATATCATGGTGCCTGCGACGAGAACATCATGATGAATTATAATAACAGCAGTTTGATCTATCCTTCCTGTCTAGTAATTCGTTTACTGAGTTCCAAACCAGAAATACGTAAATACAATAAAAAAAACAAACACAAAATGCAAAAACAAGAAGGCAATACTGTATACAATAATGTTTAGTTCTTTGAGAACCACATATAAAGAGGTTATTGTGATACGACAAACCATACAGAGGCCTATGCAGGTCTATATGAGAGCGGATTACTATGAGGGTTTCCACCGCAAGTAATTTATAAACATATTGGAAAAGTGTCGCTTGTCAATCATATCGCAATGTGTTCAGTTTGGACAGAAATTAACGAGTGTCGATTGGACTTTAATCCTCCTACACTGCACTTGGATATTAACTTAACATCGCCACTCAATCAACCAAACACGAACCGTCGCCTCGGCGTCCCGAGTGCTCCAGACTCCGTGGTACTTACGGCTGGTACCAAGTCAATGGTTGAATATAAAGAGATTATTAGTGTTCCTATATTATTATTCTGCTGGTTCTATAGGCCTAGGCCTTCATGTTGATGTGTAACCAACAGTAAGGTAAGCCATATTGTAGTTTAGGCTACATAGCCTACTCGACCGACTTAAAATGTGTTTTTTATATCCGCACTACAACGAGGTGAAAATCCAAGTTCACTACAAAATTCACTCGCAGCAGCAGTCTTGTGCCTTGTGGTGGTGTGGTGGTATAAAAGCCTCGATGAAACCCGTGGAAATAATTGTGTGTAAAGCTACCGGCATATATTTCATTTAGTAATTCTACAAAAACACATGGTTCTCGTTTGTGACCATATTAAATTGTTGTATCAATGAGATAACTAAATAGACCACAGCATTGTGATATTGCCTAATTGCCTTTGTTGGAAAGTTAACGGACACATGAATATCGGGCCTACTGCTGCTTCTGATCGTGGTTTTTGTGTATCTATTATTATTATTATTATTATTATTATTATTATTATTATTATTATTATTATTATTATTATTATGATCGACGACTCATCTATATAGTCTAATTTATCACTTTGAATTGGCGATTCATGAGACATCAAACATTTATAACTCCATTAACTTATTAGACGTAGGCAAACAGTATCTATACCCTGACCTTTGTACGAATGTATTTATTAGTATTACATCACGGCGTTGTTGTATTATTTATATGATAGGCCTAATAGGCCTACTTTTCTACACAATTATGTACAATAGGCCAACTCAATACTTAAGCAGTTATTTTTTCTAGACCTACTACTATTGCGCGCGACACATCGTCATCTATCGCCGACGATCGTGATCCACACGCGCACACACTTCGGTAAAATACGGTACGCGACGCCGACATTGTTGATTCAAGCATAAGTCTGAACGGATCATCATTAAAAAAGATGCCTTTTTTTCGCAATTCGTCGCCTGGTTGTGCTCACTTGAGTCGCGTCGGCTGAAGAACATCTGCCATTGTGTGCCGCGCCCAGATTAGAACATTTATTTAACGATTTAAAAAAAAAAGTACGGTAAGAGCTTTCTTTTTTTTTCCAGATCGTAAATTTGGAGATGTGGTTTCAGATGTTAGAATAATATAGCCTAAATAAAACAAATGAGGTATGAGAAACATGACTAAATAAATAGACCTAGGCCTTTTCAAGACGGAATCATTTCGAACTGAAAACGGTCAACAAGAGAAAGATTAATGTGCATGTGTGGACGATTTAAATACATTACTGTTCACAACGCTATAAACACGCCACATCGTGCTACTCAATCACGCTATAAATCAAATTAGCCCTATCTAATTTACGATTGTCTTAGGCAGGTATTAGCTGTATACCAACAACTGGATTACTACAGTACTTCTGAACAACATTCCTAGATCGCGCGGAGATCGAGTAGTTTCGTGCAGATTCCGCAGCACGGTCGATATTTGGATTTGTATATTTAGGTCTCTTGAATTCTATGGACCCACAGAGATTGCTAAATTCCTTCTTCACAAGAATGATTTCGTCACCAGAAGACAGATGCATAAAACTCACAATTACAATAGTCACTGGTTAGGCCTGAATCGCCAAAGTTGTTGTTGTTTTTTTTTTTTTGGGTACAAATGACTTCTCTCTACACGAAATGCACATGTACCGTAAAGTCGGGGCAGTAAAACTGAGGACGTCGTCGGCCCTCGCGCGCAACGGATCGTTTTCGTTGACGATCCGTTTAGACTGCCACCGGCAATCAGGGCATGCGTCATCGTTCAACGCGCTCACACAAAGCGGAGATGGATTCGCGGCCGACCGGGACGCACGACCGTCTTATGACGCAGTGGCTGTGTGCCCGGCAAGTACCATCACGAATAAGCATGTCAGAAGTATACTGTATGTCCCAAGTAGGCCAAGTTGCCAGAACACTACAATTTGCAATAACAATTTTTTAAACTGCCCATTTACCTAAATTGCCCATTTAATTATTTAAAAAGACGCTAAAATATTAGAACATTCCACTCTGGTGAATCTATTATTTAGGTCTCTCCTATCGTACTATATATGGTATATTTACGTCACACTTTTAGGGAGATTAAATGTAACTTCAATATTAACGGACAGACATTTTTCTATTATTAGTACGCCGTATTGCCGCCATTGACACTTAACGGTAATTCCAACAACGAAATCTAGACTACTACCGGTATAGGCCTATATAACATGAGTTAATGCTTCGTGAATCATCAAATTCGGTTGATGAAATATGAACCTCCCTTGTCATTCATTCATCGTAGAAAATAATGTCGTATCTAGGAGTATTGACATGGGGATAGTGCTGATGGGAGAGGAGGGGGTGATGGTCAAGTGGGTGCTCGATGATTAAGTAGGGGTGTTAGCTGTCGTAATAGACAGCTAATAAACGTAATAGGGGCCTATGTTTTTCAACAGTTGAGTGTACTTTTGCTCAGCAAATTTCCCGCGGAAGGGTTAGGGGTGGGGGTGCGCAAGCTTTTTATTGGGGGAGGAAGGCACAATTCCTCCCTTCCCCACGTAGATACGCCACTGCCGATAGTCCATACGATGGTCTAATTTTTGTGCGTAATACAGTACCGTATTTTTTTTATTCACGTTGGGCGCTCTGAGTACCAACTACTATGGCCTTCACAACTACGTTGCCGATGGCTCTCCGTATCCTATTTTATACATGACAGGTATTTTATAAATAAAACAGTCAATAATAATAACAAGGAGTAATTTTTAATCGTTTGACCTCAATTCAAGAGGCGATTTACAACATAGGTCATAGATAGGTCATAGGGAGAAGTCTTTATTATATTATTATTATTATTGTCGACGACTGTATGTACCGTATGATTTCTTTCTTGTAATGTCGAGTATCCATGCGTGCGTTACAATGTAACGCTGCTCTGGTGCAGGCCTATACAAAATGAATGGTGTTTAAAACTTACTAATTAAATAATGAGCGGATTCTCTATAATGTTTAGAAAGTGAGATCTTTTTAATGGTTATTCACAAAAGGTCGTTTAATTATTGTTGTGTTCCTTTGCAAAGCTTGTAATAACCGTGCCCTTTGTGTTGCATCGATTGTACTTATTGGCGGTGTATTTGCTTGCCTGATCGGCGAACGCAAACTAGCCAATCACGGACGCCGTTGAGGAAAATTGTGTCGAGGATTAAGCTTCGGGGGTGGAGCCGATGTCAGGAAACAAAGTTTGCATTGGTAAAGGCATGTAAAGGCAATCACTTCATGTGAACAGCCGAACCGTAAAGTAGTGACGAGTTGTTCATCTCAAAACAAGAACACTCAGGTGATAATGGAAAACCATTCAGACTAGTATTATATCGCGTAGTGCTAAAGTAACTAGCATTTGAAGGTGTAGTACCGTAGCAATCGAACGACACTGGGAAGATGGATGCATATCGAATTTGTTTAGCATGGTTTCATTTTACTAGAATTTGAGCACGAATCGATATCTTATTGTGAGAACTTTCATTTGTATTTTTTAGGTCCTTGATTGGAAGTGTGTGGACCTTCACAAGACTACAGGCAGCGGAAGAAAGAACAGGCTTTTAATACAATAGTCTCGGTAGACATTTAAGGATTTACAGAGGAAAGCCAAGTTGTTGACAATGGTGAATTAAAGAACATTGGCGATAATGGGGAAGACGTGCTCACAAATCATGTGGCGTTTTCTGCTGTTTTTCATTATATTTATCCATGTGTCTGAAATGGGAGCTCAACATGTTAATGATTTATTTTTTGAGCCGAAACCTAAGCGATGTATGCCGATTGAGATTGAAATGTGTAAGGGGCTAGGATACAACTTAACCAGTATGCCGAACCTCGTTGGGCATGAACTTCAACAAGACGCTGGCCTAACCCTTCAAACATTCACCCCTCTCATCCAGTACGGGTGCTCTTCACTGCTACAGTTCTTTCTGTGTTCCGTACATGTGCCAATGTGTACTGAAAAATTGGATAAACCGATAGGTGCATGTGCGCCTATGTGTGAACGCGTAAAAAGGAAATGTGAACCTGTATTAAACGAGTTTGGGTTTCCGTGGCCAGCCAGTTTGAATTGTTCAAGATTCCCTAAGAAAAATATCGAAGGACATCTGTGTATGCCGGGACCTGAAGAAACAGAAGAAGACAAGCTTGACCCACCGATCCGACATAGACCTATAGGGGGCCCACGTAATGGTATTTTAGTCACTCTACCTGGCGCAGTAGACATGGAGACGTGTAGTCACAAACATGACCCCCAAAAATGGATATACGTTAAGAAATACAACGATTGCTCATTGAGATGCGATCAGGATTTTTTGTTCACTGAATCACAGAAGGATTTTGCAAGGTTATGGATGGCCATTTGGTCGTGTTTGTGTTTCATTTCAACTTTAGTTACTGTTCTTACTTTTATGATTGACCCATCACGCTTTCGATATCCAGAGAGACCAATAATATTTTTAGCTATCTGTTACTTCATGTGTAGCATAGCTTATATAGTTCGCCTTGTCGCAGGTAGGGAAGCAATCGCATGCGACGAAGAAAACGGAGTTAAATTTCTCATTCTAAAAGAACTTGAAAACACAGGGTGTGCCATTACTTTCTTACTTTTATATTTCTTCGGTATGGCCAGCTCGCTTTGGTGGGTGATTCTGACGTTAACGTGGTTTCTAGCCGCGGGATTGAAGTGGGGTCACGAAGCTATCGAAATGCATAGTAGCTACTTTCATTTTGGAGCATGGGGAATCCCGGCCATCAAAACAATTGTTATTTTAGTCATGAGGGTCGTGGACGCTGATGAACTAACGGGGATGTGTTATGTTGGAAATCACAACTCGGAGGCCCTCACTGGCTTCGTTATAGCTCCACTGTTCACATATTTAGCTACTGGTACTCTTTTCTTGTTAACAGGTTTCGTATCTCTTTTCAAAATTCGTTCCGTTATGAAAAATGACGGCACGAAAACAGACAAACTGGAAAGACTGATGGTAAAAATCGGGGTTTTCTCCGTGCTATATACTGTCCCGGCTACTATCGTCATCGCGTGCAGTTTTTATGAACGTGCATACTACGACGAGTGGATGGACGGCATATCGAAACCTAATATTGAATTTTTTATATTGAAAATATTTATGTGCGTTGTGGTAGGAATAACAAGTGGAATGTGGATTTGGTCAACAAAGACCTTAATTTCATGGACACGTTTTTCTAAGAAGCTTTCAGTGCAGAAAATCAAATACGAGAACCCGAATAATATAGCAGCCAATGCCTCTCCGGTATGAACTATACGTCTGTTCGATAGAAGCTTATAGGCTATAGTATTATGAAACGATGACAGTTGCCGTAGCATCTAATAATACATTATTGTATTGATATTTCGCTGCTAATGAATATTCTGCTTACAGTTTGCATCAGCTTTTGATATTAATATTCGTAGATGAATGATGGACTTACACAAAATCAGTCAACTCAAATTATATTAAAAAATTTATGACATAATTATATGGGCTATTCATAAATGTTTATCTATCCTATATCAGGAGTGTTATCAAACATATTATTGATTGGTTACTGTAGACTATAGGGCTACAGTACTAGTAATTATTGTGTAATTTTAAATGTACATATGTAATTTTAAATTATATTTTAATCATCATAAGCAAGTTGGTACATTGCTTTAGCTTGAAATTGGTGGGCCATGATTGGAAGGGCTTGCTTGTCAAAGGACTTACTCTTTCAGATCATTGTGGACTTTGTTTCATGCTCCCATAGCCACTCTTACAACAAGCCCCCAATTGTTGCTACAAATTGCATTGAACTACGCTTGAATAGTGCGAGGGATATGTTACCTGTTCTCGGTGGCCTGGCATTGACGAAATGCAATTAAGCATTCACGCATGGTAATAGGCGAGAACTAGAAAAACACGAAAAGCACACCTTTCCGAAGAGGAGCAGAATGGCCGCCATAATATTGGTACAAATGAATTCAAATTAGTGCCGTGTGTTAAAAATTATGGTAATACATTATAAATAGGCCTATGCTGTTTTGCCAAGAATTTTGTGAAAATGTATTTTTGTTCTGTAAAACAACTCCATATATTTATATATTAAGGAAATACATTATATCTAGGTCCGGGGATTATATTTACGTGGGCCTATGTACCTCTGTGAACATAAAAGTATCTTTTAATGCCAAGCAAGATAAGAAGAGATATAAAAAGCTATTGTACATAATTCCCTAGAGTTTGATAGGATATGCCTATAGGCCATATATCAAAAGACAATATACATAAGTTGGATAATTTCTTAGAATAAAATCATACCGACTGAATGAGAGAAATGAGTCTTCGTTTTTAACTGGTTCCGAGTGCGACTCCATCCGATCACAAGCGTGTATATACCAAACATTATAGTCTATGTTTTTTGTTGTTTTTTTTTTAACATGAAACCGCGGACATAGAAACGTGGAATATTATGAGTAAAATCATTAAATATGGATAAGGGGCCTACATTTGAAATATTCATTCTCGGAGAAATGTAGGTCTTTGCTGTATAATTCGTGGCCATCGCAAATGTTCAAATGTTCAATCATAATATTTTTGTTGAGAACGTCACGTTCCAACGTTTCATTTACACGGGCAATATCGTCGCGAAATACAAGAATGTTAAGATGGAATGGTGTAGCACATCAGTCGCTATACAAGTAATCTTCTTAGCGAATATTGTCAGCTTATAGCTGATCAGCTTAAGTCTCAAAATACACAATACTTAAATACGTCTTCGATCCACTAACGCGAAGAATTTTAAGTTCACATTATAATGATTTCACTTCAAGTTTTAAAGATGTGCTCAGCCGTCGCCAAAAGAAAAAAAAATCAAGAAAAAAACCCCTCTAAGATTAAAATTTGAATTAGGTACCAGTAAATGGAACATTTCATTTTCATTTGATTTATTCGTCTCAAGTTAAAAAAAATGCAGAACACATGAGTTATACCTTTCAATTTCATGTCAAAGCTAAAAAGAAATAGGCCTATAGCTTTCATTGGTTTTAACAGTCGTTTTAAGTATAAGTTTTACTCACAAAACGATTATATTTTCTGACACAAACTTAAAGATTTAATAATATAATATTCAGTTGAAGGATTGGCTGATTATAACGTATTCAAATACAAATGATGCATTTTATATTTTTGTAGGTTAACATTGAATTTCGGCGCTAATGAAACTTAATAAAATATTGTTAATTTCAAACTTTATTTGTAATTTAATGTGGCACCTTCAATTGGCAGACATTTTAATTCTCATTCCCGGCCTATAATTTTCACTGGGTCTCCTTTAGGCGTAAATGATAAGTACTGTTAATCGACAAATTATTCAACTGTGTTTGTATAGTACCAGACTACTAAAGGTCTAAATTAGTGAAAACTTTTCTGCGTATCATTGTAAATTTTTTATTATTTCATCATCTTAAAAGGGCAATCAATCATTTTATTGAATTTTAATGGTTCCTTAAATTTTATGCATTATAAGAACAACGAGGCTCAAATTGCTTAAAAAATCAGAACAAGGCTGAGGTAAAATGTCCAATGAGGTTTTTATTTTTACAAATACTACGAAAACCAGTTCTTTTGGTCTTATCTGTACCTTACGTGATGTACATACCCCTTATAATACAGTAATAGTAATACCGTTTACGGTACTGCTGCACAGCAATGATTTTCTATCTTGAAAAGTGTTTACATAGAATATTAGCGTGAAATGTGCTAGAAAATAAGAACACAGAGCCTGGGCAAAATTGTATTGGTTCTTAATAAAAAAAAAAAGTTTACCATCTGTCTATATCCCATTTATAATGGAATTCAATAAAATTATTACACGTAAATTGTATTGCCTCTCCCATCTCATCCACTCTGAGTACGAATGGCCTGAGACTTAAAGCCCGGTTCCTGGAGGGCTGGGGTGGGTTCCGGGAGGGCTGGGGGCGGGAGGAAATTGTTGATATTTGTACAACCGAATTCTCTAAGACACAAAAAGGTGAAAGGCTTGAGAATGGTTAAGGATATGCAGAATTTTAAATGTTTAACTGGGGGAAAGGGGCATATATACCACTCTTTTTCCACCTTACTCCCCCCCCCCCCATAGTTAATACCAATTGGGGCCGGTGTATAGCATAAACTGTACTTCACAGCGCAATGAGATACATAATATCTTGCTCTAATGCCACATTAATAACATCGTTATAATATTCTTTGCATATTTTGCTGATAATCGATTTTTTCCTGTAATATTGTAACCAGCAGTGTGAAACGTATACAGTACTGTATTTTTTTTCATCTGTGTTGAAGTATTTTATGTCTCTTATTTCAAGCTTACGTTGATTCTTAAGAGTTTTCCAATATTTTACGACAAACGGTACAGTAAATAAAATTACTGTAAAATTGTTACCGTATTCGATCATGACTACAGTATATTGTCTTGCCTATCTACCCACCCTTCTGTACACCGCTAGGCCGAGTCTAATCAATGTCAACTATTGTATAAAATATATAGAGTATGCTTTTAAACTTAGGCCTGTATCATTGAGGTATACATTTGGCCCATGTCTATAATATTAAGAAAACCTTTTGTGTTATTACGGATAGATATAATATTAATATTAAGGTAGCCTACCGGCCTACATTGTCCCATAAAGACCAACTCAGACAGCGTCGTACGATGCAGCCCGACGCGATTCATCGTCGGGGACAGTCTTAAGCCGTCGTGATGAGAAATATTAAACATGTTTAATATTCTACGACGCGACTACCCCCGACGCAAACCATCGCAAATCCCCCCTCCCCCCCACAAAAAAAAATCGCGTCGGAGTTAGCCTTTATAACCGCGTAATTCTTATTCGAGTGATATTCGAGGATCGGAGCAGAACGATCTGGCCGTGTTTGAACCAGGGTCTTCACTACTCCCGACCAAACGCTCAGCTCTAGCGATAGCTGTCCTTAAACAAAACATGTGTTTTAGCTTCAAAATTATTTCCTCGGTTTCAATTCTGCTTTCTTATGTTAATTTTTCATACGCATAATTATGTTTCTCTCTCCACATGATATTGATATCGGAATTACCCACAACTGCGATCGTTTGCCTTTCAGAGATAAACTCCCGCCCAAGTGACTGTTATGTCAGTCAATCAACAAGGCGACGTATGAGAAAATATAATAGATAATATAAAAAAAAAAAAACCCGCTTCGTTAGTGTCCCAGGTAGGAATATAATTGCTAATATTCTCCTGCGGAGATAGTGAAGGCAATTATTTTACAATCGACGCGCCTGATCTCCTCAACCCTGCGTGCATTACCGTTTTAACTATCGGGTCCGGAAAAATCAAACGGTAACTTATTAATGATTTATCACCTCAGAGATAAACAATTGAGGACACTCCAAGTACATGATGTTTAAGTGACAGCTGTCAGTTATGATGAAAGTCACTTGCTGTATGTTGTCATGTTTGCCGAGGAATTAATCGAGTTGAGATGTTTTGGTTTATTATCGGCTTTACGACATTTCTATAACAGCAGAACGTGTTGTAAGGCACATGAAGATCCTATTCTTTGGACTTTTTGATGACTGAATGTTATTTCCATGCAAAGAAACAAATAACTGCTGTGACTACCAATTGTTGCGTATCGTATATTTCTACATAACTTTGTAAATAACATTTCCCTTCTCCTTTCGTATTATTCTTACGTGCTAACAGTTGTTGGCTAGCTTAAAAGTCACATTAAAATAAATACGCATCCAAATTAACATTTGCCTCCACCATGCAAGTGTTGACCAATATCACAATTATCGATTGTTCTGTATTGCCAAATGTTGGGCTATACTGAACAACGATATGATGATGATGATGACGATGATGACGAAAGCAATGTCGATAGGCTAAAAGAATATAAAATGGCGATGAAGATGATTGGGTGACGGTTTGTTTTTTAAACTACAGTAACAGCAAACAATGTATTATATAAATACAGTACACAAACTTTATAATTATATAGGAAAGAAAAAAACGTATGATACCGTACCTTTTGCCTCGCCTAAATCATAAGTTGGCATTATAGTTTACGACTGTGTTATTCAAAAAAGTACAGCAAATAATTATAACTACAAATAGGACTACAATAACCTTATTCACAAACTTAAGAAAGAAAATACCAGTCTGGTAAGTCTGTAAATCCTAACTTGGCATTATAATTTACGACTGCGCTAAATAATTGCAGTTACACAAATCTATAATGTAGAGTCGATGTATAAATAGGGCTGTACCGTCAACACAACCATAGATCATCCTGAGATGGCATTTTGTGCGCACGCATGCCAGATTATTGCGCGTGAACACTCCGAACTCGCGTGTTGCTTACAGAACATTATTGAAATCTGTGTTCAGAAATAACTCATTACCAACACACGTGATAGTCAGCATATGGAAATGGTATTATTATAATGGAGTGCTTCATGTCGTGCCCTGAAGGGTTCACTTCATTTTCAGCTTCATCAGCCAATTCTTAAGGTTAACCGAGTTTGTAACACTGCTCTATGTTCAATAAAGTCGGGCAGATACGTATGACTATACCGTACATAACAGTGTCTAGATTATCAGTAATAGTAACATCGCAGGTTATTAACATCATAGTAATTAACTATAGCTTATAGGCCTATAAGAAAATATAATATGGCGATGCATTTCAATACTTGGAGTAGACCTATGTGTTATAATTTGTTATAGGCCTATAGTTTCAGACTTCGGCATTGGTTGCCTTGACTAGGCCTATGTCAAATACAGTACGGTAGGCCTGTTATATTAATTAGTTATGAATGTGTTCAGAGCATATATAGATTATAAATGGTATGTGTGTGTACCTAGGCTTATTCGCATTCAATTTTCTTAATGTACAGTAGCTAAATGTATCATTAAATCCATCTTTGCACACTCCGATAAATTTAGCCAGAGGTTCGTTAGTAGAAGTAGGTATTAAATTTAAGGGTGACGAAATGTTGCTATAGCCGGAGAGCCAGAACTTTGTGCGTGTGTGGGCAGATCAGCGAGAGCCTGTGGTTCAGTGGTTGGGATCATAGAAAGGTCTTCATGTTACTCTGGAATCCAGAGGATCACAGACTCAATCAAATACACTACTCAAAATGTTAACCCAGGGTGTCTGCTGCAGTCGTCCTACTTTCTGTAGTTAGGGCTTTTAACGCTAATAAGACTATTCATATAAGAACAATGAGACTGATTTGTATAATGCAAACGGGTTAGGCTTAAAATAATTAAGAATGCATTGGTGTGG